GAGCTATGGGCGCCGAGCCTCAAATCCTACTCTAAAAGCATCTTCACATAATCAAAGATTAAAAGATTCAGACAAGGATCTGTGTATTGCACTTACCTGCACTTACTTAACATATACCTGACTTGCAGTATCTTTAAGTAGTTCGGTAAAATCTGGTATTACTATATAAAGTCATTACTTTTGACAAACTGACCCAGTTATTAATGAAAGAATATGGATTTGAAAATTTTTATTTTTACTTTTTTATTTGTTTATTTTTTAAAGACAGAGTCTCACTTTGTCATCCTCAGTAGAGTGCCCTGGTGTCATAGTTCACAACAACCTCAAACTCTTGGGCTCAAGAGATTCTCTTGCGGACTACAGGTGCCCACCACAATTCCCAGCTATGTTTAGAGAGCTAAATAATTTATACTGTCACAGAAATAATTTTGTTACTCTTGTTTACTGGGTGTGATTTCCCAATGCACTGATGTGAAAAAGTATAATATCTAAACTAATTTAGTTATCCACAGAGGGGTCAATTAACTGTGATGAAAGATGCCATCAGACCTTTGTGAATTAGCTGGGATGTTTTCACTGAGAAACTACATATAGCAGGTGTGCATTCATTACAAATATTTGCATCTGTCAAGGTGGAGCCACTTTAAGGAGTGAGTTTGTATCTAAAGTGGATACAAGCAAATGTTTAAACTACAAGATTTTTACTTGCTAGAGAATGTATTTTTGGGGTTTTTTTTTTGCAGTTTTTGGCCGGGGCTGGGTTTGAACCTGCCACCTCCGGCATATGGAGCTGGTGCCATACTCCTTTGAACCACAGGCGCCGCCCAAGAGAATGTGTTTTAATATAGTGGTTTGGCCTCTGATTATTTATAGGTTTTATAAATTTTAGAATCAATTTCTCTTTAAGGTGGCTCCAATTTTTCAACTCTTATGCATACATTTGAGTTGGAATTCATTGTGCCTTTTTTATCTTTATCCAAATTTGAAGTTCAAGCTTCACATGGTAACTACATCCTGTTCAAACAAATACAGTCTAATTTTTAAAACCATGCGCTGTTCTCTAAAAGTCAGAATGACAAAGCCAACGCTAATTAAGATGACAAACTTCAGTAGAAACCTTAACATCCAAATCTTCTTGAATTGTGAATTGTACCCCTTCCAGTTTAGTTTCTTCTAAACTCTCCTTGCTGTGGCGTCATAACTCACAATAACCTCAAACTCTTGGGCTCAAGTGGTCCTCTTGCCTCAGACTCCCAAGTAACTGGGACTACAGGCCCCGCCACAATGATGGGCTAATTTTATTTTATTTTATTTTATTATTATTTTTTTTGATGGGCTAATTTTAGAGATGAGGTCTCTCTTTTGCTCAGGCTGCTCTCGAGCTCCTGAGCTCAGGCAATCCACTCGCCTTGGCCTCCCGGAGTACTAGGATTACATGAGTGAGTCACTGCACCCGGTCTATTTACTTATTTATTTATTTAGAAAGAGTCTTACTCTAGGCCAGGCATAGTGGCTTGTGACCGTAATCCCAGTACTCTGGGAGGCTGAGGTAAGTGGATTGCCTGAGCTCACAAGTTTGAGACTAGCCTGAGTCAGAGCGAGACCCCATCTCTAAAAATAGCTGGGTGCTGTGGCAGGCGCCTATAGTCCCAGCTACTTGGGAGGCTGAAGCAAGGAGGATCACTTAAGCCCAGGAATCTGAGGTTGCTATGATCTATGACACCATGGCACTCTACTGAGGGCGACAAAGTGAGACTCTGTCTCCAAAAAAGAAAGAAAGAAAGAAAGAGAGTCTCACTCTGTTGCCTGTGCTGGAGTCCAGTACAGTCAACCTAGCTCACAGTAACCTCAAACTCCTGGGTTCAAGTGATTCTCTCACCTCAGCCTCCAGAGTAGCTGGGATTACAGGTGTGAGCTACTGTGCTTTTTTGCAGTTTTTGGCTGGGGCTGGGTTCAAACCCGCCACTCCTGGTATATGGGGATGAAGCCCTACTCCTTGAGCCACAGGCACTGCCCCTGTTATCTTTTTTGTTGTTGTTGTTACGTTGCCTTATTTTTTAAACCTAAAGCTCTCTGGTGATAACACTGCTTTCATTACTTATATTGGTAAATCATTCCTTTCTTTTTTTCTTGGTCAGTCTTCTTATTTTATTGCTTTTTTTTTTTTTGAGAGAGAGAGTCTTAGTACGTTGCCCTCTCTTACCTCAGCCTCCTAAGTAGCTGGGACTATAAGTGCCCACCACAATGCGTGGCTATTTTTAGTTGTTGTTGCAGTTGTCATTGTTGTTTAGCGGGTCCAGGCCCCGTTCAAACCTGTCAGCCTAGGTGCATATGGCTGTTGCTGTAACCACTGAGTTATAGGCACCGAGTCCTTTTTTTTCGAGACAGAGTCTTAAGTTATGGCCCTGGGCCTAGAGTGCCGTAGTGTCACAGCTCACAGCAACCTCAAACTCCTGGGCTCAAGTGCCTCACTTGCCTCTGTCTCCTGAGTAGCTGGGACTATAGACGCCCGCCGCAATGCCCGGCTATTTTTTGATTGCTGTTGTCATTGTTTAGCAGGACCAGGGCAGTTCAAACCTGCCAGCCTCTGTGTATGTGGCTGGTGCCCTAACCACTGAGTAACAAACGCTGCCTTTATTGCTCTTTTCAAAGAATTAGCTTTTGGCTTCACTTATTTTTTTCCTTAGGTTTCTTCAATTTCACTGATTTTTACTCTTTATTATTTCCTTCCTTCTGTTTATTGTGTACTTAATTCATTCTTCTTTTCCTAGTGCCTGATGGCCATTTATTTGAGATATTTATTCTTTTCTGACATAAGCAGGGATTGCTGTAAATTCCCATCTAGGTTGCACCTCACAAATCTTTGTTTTCATTTACGTTCAGTTCAAATCATTTTCTATCTTTTGAAGCACCCCCACCTTCATTCTCCCTGAACATTTTCTACTTTAAGACTTTTTTATGACTCACAGAATTATGTTGTTCATTTCTAAATTTTTGGAGGTCTTACTGTTATCTTTCTGTTATTTATTAGTATTTTGCTTTGATTCCATTGTGGCAAGAGAATGCACTTTTATGATCTCTGTTCTTTTAAATTCGTTAAAGTGTATTTTATGACCCAGACTATGGTCCATCTTGATAGATGTTCTATCTACACTTGGAAAAGTGTGTTTTCTACTGTTTCTGGCGGTGAGTTCTGTAAATGTCAGTCAGGGCAGGGTGGTGCTCTCCAGAGGAAGAGATTCTCCTTGTCCTTGCTAATTTCCTGTCAGTTCTTTTCACTATGGGGAGAGGGTAATTGACGTTTCCAAGTTTGATCATGGACTTTGCAATTTCTCTTTTCAGTACTATACTTTTTTGCCTCACTTTTTTTTTTTGGTAGAGACAGAGTCTCATTTTATCGCCCTTGATAGAATGCCGTGACATCACACAGCTCACAGCAACCTTCAACTCCTGGGCTCAGGCGATTCTCTTGGGCTTGTCACAAGGCCCAGCTATTTTTTCGTTGCAGTTTGGCTGAGGTCGGGTTTGAACCCGCCACCCTCGGCATATGGGGCCGGCGCCCTACCCACTGAGCCACAGGTGCCGCCCTGCCTCACATGTTTTGAAGATTTGTTGTAAAGTTCCTGCATATTTTGGATTATGGCTGTCAGGGCAGAGTTAGTACTGATACTGAGAGGCTCAGGGCATCCTTCAGGGAGAGAGCCTAGCCGGGGTACTTAGAAGCCTGAGTACACTTCAAGGCTCAAAGGGTGGCCATATGTAATGGCACACACCCCAGTCCCAGCTACTCCAGTGGCCCATGCAGCCCAGGAATTCAGGGCTGCAGTCAGCTGTGATCAGGCCTGTGAACAGCCTCTGCACTCCAGCCTGGGCAACATAGCAAGACCCCATCTCTAAAACCAGTCGGCCAACAAAACTTCATAGAAGGCTCGGCGCCTATAGCTCAACCGGCTAAGGCGCCAGCCACGTACACCTAAGGTGGCGGGTTCGAATCCCCAGCCCGGACCCGCCAAACAAC